TCAGGTTAAAGTATCAGTATCGGATCAGTAGCACCGATACCAGGGGGATCAACTAGGAGATTCACTTAGTGCACTTCCTGTAGGTCTTCTTCTCATGCAATTAATGTTTGTAGTTGTAACATTTTCTCCATACTGACCCCCAGTGTGAAGTAGGACAACAGGATCTAACCTCTAAATATATTAAATACACCAACCTCTAGAGGGCATCTCAATCAAAAAAACTGTAAGCTGTTTGCGTGTCTTTATGTGTATGTAAGGGCTGGGTTTAAAAACTTTTACAGAGATACAGATAAATTTCACTTGTTTTCCACAAAACATTTGAAATAAATACCATCACATTAAAATGAACTTAGTATAAGTGAACAAATCGTAACAACCTTCGTAACCTGTATAAACAGCAGTTCTCTACTGACATCACAGCATGCTCAAGTCATCAGCCTTAGGATTTCTGCAGACTACGTGGTAAAAATCATTGCAACAATTGAATTTATTATGAATACACACATGCAAGACAAGTTTATTTCTTCAGCACGATTCATACACAAAGTAATTCATAAGGCTTTACAGGGAAATAAAGAAACAAAGGTAAAGAAGTACTCCAAAAATAAAAATGTTAGAATATAAATAAAAAATACACAGCTAATGAATTGACAAAAAAAAAAAGAAAATATTTGACAAAACAATATTTGGCCTTAATGGGAAAGCTACATTAAATAGTAATATTTTCTGTCCTGATTTGCATCTCAGGTTTTCAGGGAGTTGATCCCAGACCTGGCAAGCATAGAAACTGGGAACACTGACTGGAAAGGTCTCTGATGGCCTGCTGGGGTCTAGATGGTTCATATCTGACCAGCTACTCTGAGATAACTTTAGGCCCAGGATCATTCAGTGACTTGTAGACCAATATCAACATTGTAAAAGCTATTTGTTTTACAAATTGTGACCCAGTGAGTCCAGCGACCTAAGGACTGGTATGATATAGAGTCACACCATTTCCATGGTATTGGTCAGGACTCTTGTGGAAATATTGCCTGCAACTGCCTGATTGAATTTTCTTTTTACAGAGGCCAGTAAAAACACTATTACAATACAACAATTTCTGAATTTCTGAATCCATAACAACAACTAGGTTTCATGCCCGTTAGGTCTATTTTCTTTTTTTTTTACTGAGATCACTGAGATCGAGATCTCATTTACAAGTGTGACCTGGCCAAGAGGTCATCAAGATACGCTACATTAGGTTATATATTCCAGATTATAAACATTATATCAGGTAATTGTAGATAAACTCCCACTAATACTGATTAAAGGTCTTTTAGTAAGTCGTAACTTGTCTATACTATTTTTGTTTCCATCAAAAAATGCCTGGTAAATTTCTTCCAGGACACTTGACCACTCTTCTTAGCAGAACAGGTAGAGTTAATTTAAATAGGTTAGTTTTTTGGCACAGGACACGTTTTTATGAATAGTTGACAATTTATCTAAAGGGGTGAGGTCAGAGCTTTGGGAAGGTCATTCGGGAGCTTAAGGTTAGCATGCTGTATTCATTCCAAATCCTGTTTTGGTGTATGTTTGCGATTATTGTCCCACTTCAAAGTTGACCCCATCTGTCCAAAACTGTCACCCTCAGATGAACGTAAGTTGCTTAGGTTGTTTAAGAACTATCCAGGAACCAACAAGGCTCATTACCATGGACTGAGAGGGTATCGACCACAAAATAGAGACTGTATCAGCAAGCCAAAAACCCTGTGGAGAATGGGTTTAATGTTGAGACAATACAAAGATTGAGTTTGGCTCCAACGACAAGAAGAATGAACAAGGGAAGCCTTTAAAACCTAAGACCACTGTTGCGTATGGAGGCGGTAGCATTATGCTCTTGTGCTGTTTCACTGCCAGTGGTACTGGTGAACTGGACAACGTGGATTCAAGGTAAAAAAAACTATTTAAATTAACTCTACCATTTCCCGCCATAAATAGTGGCCCTGCAACCAATCAGAATTAGGCTAAACGTTTGTCAATGGCTAAAACTGTCAGAGGTGCAAATTGCTAAAACATTTTAAACAAATTTTAATTGGGGTGTGAATGAATCTGTCAGACTGTTTGTAAAACTGTGACACTGTGTGGATTAGAGAAAATGCACAATGAGTTAAAATCTGAATAAAGCTATACACATAAAGTTTCAGTGTCGTTGAAGGTGTTGGTTGTACAATGACTCACATAACCATTAAAAGGCAGAGTATGAAAACTTCTCCAAGGAACTGTACATCCATAAAAATGCCTTGTAAAAATACTCCAAATACATCGCATTAAACTTTGTCAGGACTTTTTAGGTTCAAAGTGGTTGTTGACTTAAAAAAAACCCATTTGTTCTTCTTTGAGAACGTATTTGTCACTTAGAACAGAGTTTTGTATCTTTTTCTCTGTCAGCTGTCTTAGCTCCCAGGAGACTGCACTGAATCTTTGTGAGCTTTTCGTAGATAAATATCAAGTTTTTATAACCATCACATCAGTCCAGAAACCAAAAGTTTTCTGCAAAAGCATTATTTGTATCTAAAAATATAAATACGAAAGTCTGCCTGACATTAACAAAAGATAAAATACCAAAAAATAAAATTTAGTTACATCTATAAGATGACTAGAAACTTTAAAACAAGAGCCATGAAATAAAATGGGGTGTTTAAGTACCCGATTTCCTCATCATTTTACGTTCTTTATCAGATTTTTATTTTCATGTGTGCAAATGTGACTCTCATTCGAGTGAAATGTTTCAGACATCAGAGAAACCCTCTGCAAACAAGCAGAAAATGCTGGCAGAAAGCTTCTGAGAGTAAAAGACAGTGAATACAAATCAAACAAATAGACTCAAACAAAACAGCTCAGGTTCAAATGTTGGATCATGAGGTCCGACAAGCTTCCAACATCAGAGACAGAAAATCACGGCTAACAGAGGTGCTCTGCTGCTTTGTAGTTGAAGAAACTACCTTTAGATTTCTTCTGACGGCAAACTGTGAGTCCATCATACAACACTCCACACGCACTGAAAATTTAACAATGACAGCAGGAAAAATGTTTCACTTAAAGATGAAGGCTGTAGTTTTCTGTTTGGAGGTGTATAAAAAAAGATAAAAAAGAGGCACAAATTGGTGTAGAAAACTGCAGCCAGTCAGCAGTTTTCTATGCACTTTCTCCTTTCAGTAGAACTGTGTTCTTTTACAAACTTTTAACATTTATTTGGTTTTTAACAGAGATTGTTCAGTCATGTAAGACTACTACAACATTGTACATATAATATATGACAGAAAGTACAAACTCACAAAAGCCTCCGCTCACCTCAAATTAATATGAAAAGATAACCACCACAAGCCAAGAGAGTCAACCGTGTAGGAAGACAGCAGACTTCCAGAAGAAAGACAGAGAATAAATATATAATCACAAACTTTCATTATTCTTTTTTAGCTTCTTCTTTTATTAGCTTTTTATTGAATATGCTTTTTTTGCACATCAATTTACAGAGTTTGTCATGGATTATTCTTTTTTTCAATAGAAACACCAAAATAGTTTCATTTCTTTTCATTATATTGATTTTGTCGTGTGCACAATGGTACATTTTGATGATACGCAGGGTAAATGTCATGACCAAAGGCTAGGTCATGTGCAGAAGGAGTCCTACAAAGGAAATCAGCACTTTTATTTAACCAGCTTCCCTTTTATGGGGTAAAAAAACCCATTTGACATAGTTTTGGCACATTTGGCTAAATTGTGCCAAAAAGCCAGCTCTGCCTGGCACATTGCCCACTGAAACCTTTGTGGAACAAATAAGCTTCAAATGATTCAGCCCAAATTTGCTGCAGTTACAGTCAAGATGTTGATAAATACAACCTGAGGATTCTCATATGTTTTCAAAAGGATTTTCATGGTATTTTGCAATGTTCTTTAGTAAAATATTTTGGAGAGGCTCAAAAAATTTGATTTCTTAAATCTCAAATAAATCAGACATAATAACAGTCACAATAATGGTTCCAGTGTTAAATATTATTTTTTCTCTTACCTTTGTATTTAGACTTTAAAACTGTGGAGCTATACTTGTTTTTTTCAGTTATGTAATTTCAGGTGGAAATTCCCTTTAAAACCCTTAGTGCTTAAGGTTTACCAATACTCAGTGGTAAAAACTGGCAATGAGTTTGGCCACCAGACCAAACTCCTTAAATTATATAAAAAATCAAGAGTTTACAGGTTCCTAAAGTCTTCAACAAAAAAAACCCACGAAACGAAGCACTACCCTCAGAACTTTTGTAATAAAAACAGATCTGCTGATTCAGTACAGATCATGTCATCAGACTGATCGCTCTGGTCAATTAAACGCGTGGCTGCTCCGGCGTTCTGCTTATTGCATGGGGTTACTTTGCCCTTTAGTGTGGACACAGACACACAAACACAGATGTAATAGTTTGATCTGAGGTCAGACAAGCGTATGGAAGGTGGGTCCGCAACTCAATTTTCCTCATAACTTCATATCTCATGGACCCTGAATTTAATCAGTGTGGGAGTGTGGAGAGCTGTGATTTTATTTCTCTTTTTCTGTTTCAGTGAGCAGTCAGATCTGTGTGTGGGAGCTGAACATTATGGTGGGGACATTTTTGTATTTTTGTTCCTTAACTTTTTGGCCTTAAGGCTTCGGAAAAACAGATTCAAGGTCAAAGCAATTCAGAGAATCCAGACCAAAAAAGATCCTTAGGTAGTTATTTGACATGTTTAAGATAAGGACATACCTACAAAAGCCTTGATGAAAGCTGACAAACAATAAAAAGCCCCCCACAAAAAACACAAAAAAAATGTAAAAGCAACAGACGAGATGATAAAAGTGGTCTGAATTCCCCATGTGACAGATATGAGAAAGTATAGATTAAAATGGCTGCTTATTCATGGCTCAGATTTCCTGTGAGCAATAATTCTCCATCCTGTAATCTAAACACTGTCTGCAGAACTGAACCAATGAGAGGACCAGGATGGCTGAGGGGTGAAGGTGTTGGGGTTGAGACCCAATGAGCATCTGCTGAAGTGGCTTTGAACTCCACTCCTGGTAAGCTCTTCTAAGCCTTTACCAACTATTTCCCACAACGTGTTGAAAGTTGTACTTCAAGAAAGCCATGCATTTAAGTTTGCATAGACCAATTTTGAGTTTTAATTGTTTAACCCCCCCCTAAAAAACTCTTATTTCCAGAGGAATATCACAGGGCATTCCAGTGGTAACTGTAAGAGTCCATGTTGGCTCCAAAGAAAGGTATCAAAGTAGACAACATATTGCTGCTTTGTTGGAAGTGCTCCAGAGTTGCTGGAGACTAAGGTTCCCCTGTTTTCTATTTCTGTGTCTTTGTGTGAATTGTATGACGAAGACCCTCTGCAGGCACCATACGCCCGAGTGGTTAAAGTGTTGGACCTAGGGCCTAAATATCTTGGGTTCAAACCCCCCTCCTGGTAGTTTTCTTTGAACAACTACATTACAGTCCTTTTCCACTGAGAGTAGATGCAGTGCAAACAGAGAGAGGTAAACAATGGCACCAGAAAACTACCTTAGTTCCTGGAGAAGGTTCCTGTCTTTAAAACATGCAAAAGGTGCATTTTGAAACTGCATTAATAATCTATGTAGAGAAACAGACAGAGGTGTAAAGGAAAACAATTTGGTATGTCAAGGATTTTCAGTACAGCCCTTTTCGTTCGGCACACGTGTGTACACAATGCTCTTTGAAACCTGAACCCAGGAGGAACCCAGTGGGCAACGCTATGTTTCATCTCGCAACTTTAGAAAGCCATACCAGAAGAAAACAGAACAGGGAGGAGGTCTGCTATTTGGGAACATTAATGTTTCTCATTCTGCTACAGTGTCGACAAGGAAAGAAAGGTGGACTAAACGGAAGCCTAATGTCAGCATTTTGTAACAGCAATAAGGTACGTAGCTCGCTCTAAGCTTAATTACTCCCCTGAAACAATTTTAAGGTAACAGTTTGGAGCTACGCTTATATTACTTCTTATTAACTTATGATGGTGCACAGTTTGATATTACATTAAAATATAATTGTAAATTTGCTGCACTGGTACAATCAAAATGAAGGCAAATAAAATACTGATAATTGCTTTTGTGAATCACTACAACCAGGAGCAAACATATCTTTAAGGTTTTCTGCTAAACCTTCTGCATTCCTGTGTGGCAGTAAATAATTTTCCTGCAGAAACAATACATTACATCTGTGCCAAATGTTATACTGCACCCTGAACACCCCCAGAATCCCATAACCATATTTCCTTGAAAAAGCATTGCAGCAAACACACAAGAACCCATTTGTGTTTACTGAAACCATCTGCAGCAGCTGGGAAATTATGTTCTAGCTGTAGACCAACAGGAACACATTTTGGTGGCTCTGACCTGTCGATGATGCCGCACATGTCGATCTGGAGTTGGCTGTAATTTCCTAGAAGTCGCTGCTGCACCATGATCAGGTCAACTGGCTGGTTGTCCAAAGCGAAGAGACGCATGCAGCCCTGGAAAGTGTTGTGAGGGTTTCTACAGTCCTGATTGTGATCCTCAGCAGGACAACCTTCAAAGAGCAGCAGAGAGGAGAGTCAAACACGGCAGCAAGGATTGCATCAATAAACCCTAGTGGGAATAAAGACCAAGTAGAACAGTGTTCAAAACATGAAATTGAACTGATAAACGTGCTCTAAGATGCAGAGAAACCCTCTGATTTATGCTGTTGCTTCCTCAGATGAATTTGACATCTTGAATCAGAGAGACTATTTTTTTCCTTTTGCAGTCCATTAAATAAGGAAAAGGAGATAAGTTTTTTGAATCTACATGTGCAGGATGATGAAGAGCCTAAAGGCAGATATAAGAATATGTCTGGACTACAATCCTGCTGAGCGGGCGAAAACAACAGACGGCAGTTTAGGTGGTGAAAAATGAAACAAAGGGAGAAAAGAGGGAGTAAAAGACAGGAAAGAAAAAAGAAAAGGAAAATCAGCTAAAAATTCAGATAAAGGAAGATATAAATGAGACAAACCTTTAATCTCAATAACTATACAGTGGCTACCAGTAGAAACGCAGCAAATATTCATATGTTACAGTGACACAGTGGTACCTGGAAGTGTTTGGGATCCATCGGACGGAAACTGATCTGTTCTAGATCCGAGTAAGTTTAATCCATCTACAAGAACCTGAGAGACAACAGAACCTCCACCTCCGGCCAAGAGGATGGCCGAGTGGTTAAAGCGTTGGACTTAAGATCCAGTGGATTGTGGTTTCCTACTCCAGGTAGGCAGCATGAGGAATGAGGCGGAAGCAGGAAGTTGCTCCCTGACTTGCAGAGATGTAAATCTTTGATCTTTCTGATTTCCTAAGTTTGCTGACTTAAAAACAAAAGCACACTCTCTGTGGAAGTTTCATTCAAACAGACATAATGTCAAGAAATAATTTTAGCAACAAATAACAGTTTGTACATTTTGTTTTATTATGCTACTCAGTTGCGCATTTCTTTGAATCTGAAATGTTATTTTAAATAAGTTTAAAGTATTTCTCTTGTTTGTAAATTGTAAATTTGTTATCACTCTACAGTTTTTCTATTTTTTACCTTTTGTGTAAATCTACATGACTTTCACTCTGCTGCTAGTACACCTGAATTTCCCCACAGTAGAACAATAAAGGATATTTCTATTCTATTCTATTCTATTCTATTCTATTCTATTCTATTCTATTCTATTCTATTCTTTACCGTTGTAAGGAACATACAACATATGAGCCCAGGTTTGGTAGGTGCCAGCAGTGTTTCACTTTTACCTCCAAAGAAGATATGGTTTGAAACCGCGACAGGAAAAGAGGGCGATGCGTGAGCGACACCACCCTGTTTATCCACAGAAACAGTCAGATGGCCACGCCTGGAGGTAAGATCCACCACATGCCATTGACCATCATTTAATGCAGATCCTAGGAATAATACACAAGTGCAATAAATTTTGGTATTGGTATATCTCTTGAGTTTTCCCACATTTTGTCACGTTATAACAACAAATTGCAATGTATTTTATTGAGATTTTATGTGACAGACCAATAGAAAGAGAAGAATAATGGTGCAGTGGAAGGAAATTTATCCATGGTTTATCAACTCCAGTCATCAAGAGCTGCTGTCCTGAATGTTTAAGATGTTCCCCTGCTCCAACATGGATGAGTTAATGACTGAATTAGCTCCTCAGCATATCTTCAAGTTCTCCTCAAAGAGAGAAAGATGAAAACCTGTTAGAGGCTGGAAAATACTTGAGACTGGAGTGGAGACGCACCCTCCAGCTGAACAATGGGCCTAAACATACAGCCAGAGCTGGACAGTCTTAGACCACAGCAAATTCGTCTGTTAGAATGGCCCAGTCAAAGTCAAGACCTACATTTAATTAAATATCTGTGGGACGGTTTAAAAATTCATGTTCTCCATCCAGTCTAACTGAGATTGAGCTGTTTTGCGAAGAAACAAAACAGAAGCAAAAATTTTCAGCCTCTAGGTTTGCAAATACATGGATGTTTGTGGATGCAAAGTGACAAAATGTGAAACGGTTCAAGGTGTATGAATACATTTGCAACAAACTGACCTGCACTGAGCTCCAGCAGCACCCTGCCTCCTTTCTGGATCTGCAGGTAGAGTCTGGCATCATTCAGGTACAACGAGACCTCGCCCCCTTGCCGAGGGAGGTCAAAGGTGAGGAGAAGCCCGGCCTTATTCCAAGTCCTGAACTGAAACCCAATGGACATGCCCCCTGAAGAGGATGGTGCTGTCCACGGCAACTGGAGGAAGCTGTGGGGGCCGAGGAACGTCACGGCAACAGAAACTGGCTCAGCACAAGAAAAGGTCACATTGCCCTGAGAGCAGAGAAGAGGCATGGCAGAAAAACTGATTACTGAAGAGATAAAACAGCAGCAAACATGAATATTAATCAGCTGCAGGGGGCGTGTCCACGTGGCTCCGTGGTGCAGCGGACTCATCAGCAAGTCTCCTTGAGAACAGAAGCACAAACTGGAACTGCCACAGCTGAGAGCTGTAGAGGGGCGGTGTGTGTGGACATTACTCTACAGTCATTTCATTGCAGTCCATTGTTCTGAGGGGTAATGACACAGCAGCTACTGCTAAAGCTGCAGTGGTAATGTATTACTGCACCGGCTCTACTGGGAATATCACCCGGCTATCTTTATAATGCTCTGGAAACAGAGATGACATCTAGAAGCCCTTTGTAGAGCTGTTAAAGTGATATATGAAAGTGTGTGCTGCAGAATGCATCATCACAAAATATAAAGTAAAAATTGGTCTATAAAAGTCCACAGAACCATTCACCTCACACAAAACCAAAAGAACTCCCAACACTTCTGAATGCAAACACCTATGGATGTTCAGCATTACTCCTGCCTTTAAAAGAGACGTGTTTTAAAACAGGAAGTAACTGAGTGAGCACGCCATCACTGTAAGAGCTATAGCATCTGTTGGGAATCACGCTTCTTGGTACTTTTGTTTTAACACCTAACATTTAGTAAAAAGTGCTCCAAAAAGCTCACATTCACTGTTGCTGCTGTACCAACTTTTCTCTACCTTTAACAGAAAGAAAGTTTGAATCAGCTGTAGTTTTTCCTGGTGGGGCTCTGAGCATGGCAATATGTCTGAAAACTTCTGGAAATCCATTGATATCGGGTTTGTTGAGGGTTCTTAGTAGAAAACAACACAGAGCACCTGGTTTCATCTGTTTCTGTGACTCCATGAAGAGTCATTTCCAGCCAGTATTATTTATTTTCATATGGTTCATCTGCTGCGACTGATTGGTATGAAAGCCCAGAGCTCAAGGAGCTGAGGAGATGAACATTAAAGCAGTCTCTCCAGATGGTTTATGTGATCTGTCATCCTCACAACACAGAAACAAAACTGAAACTTTAGGAGCCTTTAAAAAATGGATCTGAATTAATGTCATCAGGGTCAGTACTTTGATTCAAACAACCTTTTGCAGCAAACTGTACTAATTTTAATTCATGTAATTCAGTAATTTTTTCATTTTGTGACTTTT